TATCAACTCTTTCCCACAAACTACTCATGTAATATAACAAATCAGTCTATTTGTTGAGGTTGTTTCCAAAGAATGCTCAACCGTTCTATATTGTTGTAATTTTTTCTGCATTTCAAATGTTTCTTCTTCTCTTCTTTCCACTAATGGCTATCCTGTTTTGTCTCATATTTAATTTATTGAATATCCATGTACTTCTTTATTCCCATATATATATAGAGCCCAAGAGAGTAAAATAAATTAAACATTGCCTTAAACCTGGTATCCTAGCCATGTAGCTTTTAGGTGAAGTTAGTGAACTTTCAAACGTAAGTCATATACAGTCAGCCCTCCGTATCCACGGGTTCCCCATCTGTGGATTCAACCAACTGCAGATCGAAAATATTTGGGGAAAAAATAAAAACAATACAAAACAAAAACCCCTGTGTCTGCACTAAACAAACTTTTTTCCTTGTCCTTATTCTCTAAACAGTTCAGTATAACAGCTATTTACATAGCATTTACATTGTATTAAATAGTCTAAATATGATTTAAAGTATATAGGAAGATGTGCATAGGCTATACGCAAATAGTATGCTATTTTATATCAAGGACTTAAGCATCTGCAGAATTTGGTATACACGGGAGGTCTTGGAAACAATCCCCCATGTATACTAAGGGACAACCATATTACGTGTGTGTGTTTGTTGTAAGTTCCCGTCATTTAGCGATATGTCTAAAATTAGCATCCATTTAAGGGATTGATAAAAAGTGCTAAATGCTCTGCTAAACAAATTGTGTTTTCTGAAGTGAAAACAAAGTGCCTTCTCAGTGAAAGGCATTATAGCATGATTTATATATATATTTTTTGATAGTTTGCCTAGAAAAAATTATATACAACATAGTTTTTCTGTAGATGTCTTACTAGTTCATCATGCCATTGATAACTCTCTAAAACAGTCAAAACTCCACTGCTTTTGGAGATATTCATTGATTCATTCTAAAATATTAACAGACCTAGCAGCACTCTGTTAGCTGCCAGGACAGGTTTGGTACTGCTCTCATGAGCTTAATTAGGTAGTAATATTAAAATATGATGAGTGTTATGAGAAAAAAAATTACAGAAAACTACGAGAATGTATAGCAAGGAAATTAACCTTGTTTCAAGTTTATGAAAGGTCTTCCATACAAAATGCATTCAAGACAGAAATGATGAATAAGAATAAGCCAAATAAAGAGAGATCATGGAGAGGGAACAACATGCACGAAGGTTTGGTGGCAAGAGAAAGCCAGGCTTCTATAAAAGACTGAAATTATGTAAATAGAATAGGAAAGAAATGAGAACAAAGCACAAAGGCATAATTGACTGTGTCAAGAAAGTAAGAAGATGGGGAAAAACTGAGGTATTGTAAGCAGAAAAGTGATAGCACTGAATTTTTATATTCAGAAAGTTATTCTGTCTGCCCTATAGGGAATAGATAGAAGGAGAATGAGACAGAATGGACAGAAATGATGGCCACCTGACATCAGCACTATTCTGACATCAGTACAACTCTGACATCAGCACTATTCAGAGGTCAGCACTATTCTTACTAAAAATAACAAAATTGTGGTAAAAGTGGTAAACACTTTTGGTATGAGCGTGGATGGAGAGAAATGAACTCATTTGAGAGATTTGTGATAGATGGACCTGACATATTTTGTTGTTTGGAGTAGGTGGCAGAGGAGAAATCTAGATTTCTGGCTTATGCAACTTAATGGATGAGGGGGTTGTTCTGACACAGAGAACATTGGAAAATATCTGTAATTCTAAGAAAAATTCGTGATGTCAGTTTTAGGGAGATTAAATTTGACAGGTTGAGTGTCAGCAAGAATTTTAGCCGAATAGGGGGTTGTTCTGACACAGAGAACATTGGAAAATATCTATAATTCTAAGAAAAATTCATGATGTCAGTTTTAGGGAGATTAAATTTGACAGGTTGAGTGTCAGCAAGAATTTTAGCCGAAAATATCTCGTGGGTAGTTGGATACATATTGTGCAATGTAGATGAGAAGTGTGAGTTAGATATTTAGACCTGGAGATCACTTATCCAGCCTTTCTTCCAAATGAATGTTTTCTGATTGTCTATTACAGTTCAGGTCCTGGGCATCACCAGCACATAATAGTAGCTGAAGCCATGGAAGGAAACAAGGTGACTGAGAGAATGGTACAGAAACCCTCAGACACTACTAAGACAGTATTTGAACAGTGGATTGACTTGGAAGAGGAGATCATGTAGGAAGTGAAGAAGCAGAAGCTACAAATGTAAAAAACTGGTGTCATAGGAGCAAAGGTGGAAAAGTGGGGAGTAAACCAGCAATATAGAGAGCTGCTGCAGAACAAGCAAGAGGAACACTGCAGAGGATTTCACTACACATACATCCTCACTGTGAGAGTGGGTCAAGTAGAGTACTGGGTACTGAAGCCACACTGCAATGCATAGAAAATGGAGAATGATAACTAGAAAAAAATGGCAGACTTGTTATTTGAAGATGTGATAGAAATGAATAAGCGGATGGTAATATGTAGATGCTCTAGGATAACCTTCAGAAGATGATAACCAGATAATGTGATAAAATTTCTATGAAAGTTCTAAAGTTATCCTCTCATTTCAGTTCCTCTGTACAACCTGGAACATGGACAATCATAAAATCCTTGTTATTTCTATCATAGTAAAATAGGATTAACTAGTTATCTCCAAATTTTATAAATTAACCATAAAATTATAGAGAAGCTAGCCAGAATGTAAGCATATATCTATAATCTTTTGATGTCTTTAAAAATCGGAAAATGTAGGTTTCATGTTTTCTCATTGATTTATTGATGTATTTTACTCTTGACACCTGTCAAATAATTTTTTGAATTTTCTGAAAAATTATAAAGATAAATTCAGAAGCTTTTTAAAATTTTTTTTATTTTTACCAAAAATTACACTTCTATCTAATTTCAGTTTTTGCACATGGTGTCCTGGCTACTTTTTTCCATAATTGTTATATGTCTCAAGTTTCTAAAGGAAAAACTTATGAAATAATTGGAAAAGTAATCAAGTTATTTTTATAAAGGCTAGACAGTGAAATATTTTGTGAAGCATAATTATCTTCCATAGAGTATATACTGACTCAGCAGTAAAATGTCATCGGTTCATCCAAAACAATTTCTTTGTAAAACAGAGTAACTGATAAAATACCTCCAAAAAAAAAAAAAAATCACAGCTAAAATAACATGATAGACACTATCGGTTGCCTAAAGAACAGCGTCCCTCTTCCCAGCCAACAGAGATCTGGTTTAGTTCAATTAAATGAGAAAGGTGTACATCAAAGCAGGCTGAGCTCCTTGTCTACTTCAGGTACTTAGTATTGATTTGTTTGAGCCAAATCATAGTAAGTCTTTGCTACTGCCCAGTGTATGGTTTAGGAACTGGTATTATTGCAACTTGGGTCAATAAGAAAGGAGGAAAAGTCTACTGGCAGGTTTATGGAAAAGTCTTCTTAACCATTGAAAAAGAACATAAGATAGAAATATTCTACTTTGAATATTAGCCATTGCTATGTAAGGCTGTTATGCCTAGAGCTTTTGCAGCCATCATAATACCATGAGAAAGGAAGCTCAGGAACTGAAGCAAACACTGAGAATGGCAGAACAAAGCGATGAACATAACCTGGGTCAGGAATGACATACCTCCTTCTCTGAAATAAACAACCATGGAATCATTTTACCTCTAGATTCAATGTCATGGGGGTTCCTTTTTTTTTTGTATTGCTTATACCATCTTGAATTCCCTTTCTGTTACTTGCAGATGAAAAAATTAATAATAAATATCTTTCTATTAAATTCAACCATGTCAGTCAAAACTACTTGCTAAACTTTAAGGAAGAATGCTCATTCTGTCATCTCTGAAAAGATTGACATCAAACACACAATGAAAAAAAGAAACATTTAAATATCCTTACTTGAATGCCAGCTCCCTCTGGCACTGTGATCTTCCATACACAATTCAGATTGTTGTCGTAAGGCTCAGGGTATCCTGGAGACAAAATAGTCCCTTTGCGCTTAGTTAAAATTCCACCACAGGGCACTAAAAGTAAAGCAGTCGAAGAGAGGGAGTTAATTCTAATGCAAAGGATTTAGAAAAGGTCAGAGAAAACGTCTTGGACAGACACTAGACTCGCAAAGAAAATCAAATCATACTACTTTGTAAAACTCATAAAAACAATGATAATTAAATCTTTCTATACCACAAAAACTTTAAAAAAATAATTAGAAAACATTAATGGATGACCTTACAATGGCATATCTAAAAATCATATTACAATTAACTCAATAATAGCATATCATTTTTATTATATTACTAAAAATTGCATTGATAAATGCCTTAAAATAGTTTATATCTAGATATAGAATTTTTTGAAGTATTATTTTAAATTATTTTCTACTTTCTCTTTCATGCATCCTCTGAAGAGTAATGATTATAAGAGCTATGTTATGATTATAACATTCATATAAAGCCTATTATATGTCAGATACTCTTCTAAGTACTTTATATATTTCAACTAATTTAAGCCTCTCAACAATCCAGTGAGACATGAATAAGTATTCTCCCCACTATACAGCTGAGTTAAAGGAGTCATTAAGAGATTAAATATCTTGCCCAAGATCACATAGTTTGTAAGAGATGGAACAGGGATTTGAGTCCTGGAAGCTTGTCACCAGAGTCCACGTTCTTCAGGGGAAGGAAGATACTTGATGTGGTGCCAGTCTGCTTATTACCAATACAACTACTACAACAAAGAGTAAATATGTAGACCTACTCTGAAGTCAATGAAGGCTTCTATCATCTTTAAAAAATGCTAATTTGAAAGCAAAATTCTTATAGCACTAGTAGAATCAGTTCAATTTGGGGCATGACATCATTCACAACTCTTAAATACTGTGTGACTTTGGACATGTTGCTTACACTCTCTGAAACTCAGAAGTGGTAATGACATTGTTTCCGAAAGGCTTTTGTGAAAAACAGAGGGAGAGTATGATGTGCAAAAATGGGCTAGCACACTGCTTGGGACACAGTGAAAGTCAATAAATTATGTTTCCTTTTGCTATTTCAGGAACCAATGGCACTGTGCATAATAATTATAATAAAGTGAATTACAGTTTTTTGCTACTCCCAAAGCCAAGTGCAAAAACCCAGGGTATTTACTCAAAATAGTGCCCCAAACTTTTTAAATAGTGTGATAATGTATTTTTAAAAAGTTATTTTGTTCTGTTTTCTTATACATCTATGTTTTTTGGTTATATACAAATTCAGCTAAACTGACCAGAAAGAATTTAGCTCATTAAAAAAAAAAAAACAGTTTTGCATGATTTGAGCATAGCATGCCAGGTATGAAGGAGGAAATGTACACTGATTCATCCCAACCATAGAAAAAAAAACATGGTTGGTGACGGGCTGATTTTGAGACAAAAGAAAATATTGTACAGATGCTCTTCCTCTCCATCCTCACTGCTACTACCCCACCTCATCCTCGTTGGGTTTTTTTTTTTTTTTTTTTTTTTTTTTTTTTTTTTTTTTTTTTTTTTTTTTTTTTTTTTTTTTTTTTTTTTTTTTTTTTTTTTTTTTTTTTTTTTTTTTTTTTTTTTTTTTTTTTTTTTTTTTTTTTTTTTTTTTTTTTTTTTTTTCTGAGTTATTACCTTAATCACATCAATAGCCTCCCTGTGGTTGGTATATTTCCCATGTACTATATACTTCAAATTACTTTCGATATGATCTTTCTAAACTTAAAATATGACATGTTACTTCTGTGCTGAAAATCCTTCAAAAATCTCTCTGCTGCTTTAATTCTGAAGAGATACAGTTAATTGTATTAGCCTCTAACTTTACCTCCAGGCTTGCCTAACACTATAATTTCCCAATACCTCACAACGCCAGTCCCCCATCCCAGTCCACCCTACTATACTAATATGCTCTCTTAATGCTGTCACTTGGCTTGTCCTTCTCTTACCTAACACCTACCTGCCTGTCTATGGACATTCAATGTTACCTCTTTAACCTTTCACTGATTTCCCTGTATGTTAAGTGCCCCATCGTTTCCCACAGCACCAAGTGCTTTCCTGTACTACTTTATTACACTGCTCTTTCATATTCTTTTTAATATCTTAGTCTTTTCCAATAGACTCAAGCTGAAAGGATGTGATAGTCACCTTTTTGTCTGGAGCAATGCTACAAGGGGTGATGCCAAGATTCAAAGTCTTTGACCCTTTGCTTTATATATCTTCCTTCCATGCTACTAGGGTGACATGCTGTCCCCTCTTCCTCTTTCCTCTCCTCCATCTATTCCAGCAGTCCTCACCACTCTATTGAAATGACTGTGTCGAAGTTATGAGAGTATTCCTGCTGTGACACGGTCAATTCTTAATTAGCATTTAACTGAACTTATGAGCAATTATCTTCCCCTGTTGATCACTTCATCCTTGTTGAGTTTTTCTTTGCTTGGCCATCAGGACACCACACTCTCCTGGTTTTATTCTGGCTGCATTCATAATTTATTTTATTTTATTTTATTTTTTTATTGCTTATTCTCCTCCTAATCTTTTAAATGCTGAAACACACTGTGACTTGTTCCTAGGCCATTTTCTCTTCCTAATCACCATCCCTCAGTAATGAAATCCATTTCCATGTAGTCTATATACTGTGACTATTAAATGTTTCTCTCTAGCCATGACTTCTGCCCTGTTGTGCAATAATATATCTCATAAGTATCTCAAAATTAATATGTCCAAAACAATACTTTTGATATTCTTCCCCACCCATACTTTCCTCCATCTCAGTAAATGTCACCATCATTCACCCAGTTCTTAAGCCATAAATCTAAAATTCATCTTGATTTCTCTTTCTTACATTCAAGTTCACATTTATGTCTACCTTCAATCTATCAGTAAACACTGCTAACTGTACCTTAAAAATATTTCCCAAAGCTTCCCAGTTCTCATCGCGTTGGCCATGATCTTCCTATCTAAATCATCATCATCTTTTCCCTCCACTACTGCAATAGGCTCCTATTCAGTTTTATTGTTTCTACTTCACCCCTCCTTACACTAACTACAGTGATTTTTTAAAAACTAATTAAGATCATATCACTACCCACTTCAGTGAATTTCTACACTACTTTGAGAAAATTCAAACTCACCATGGACTTCAATGCTCCATATGACTTGGCCTCTGCTCTGCCTCCGTGAACTCATCTCCTATCACTCTTTGCCATCATTCACTGTGTTCCATACACCTGGGATTCTTTCTGTGGCTTAAACATGTCATGATTTCGCCTTCCCTCACAGTCCATATACTTGCTCACCACCAAGACTTACACATTCTTCCCTTCATGCATTTCATTTAGGTATAAAATAGCAGCATGCTCTGGACATTTTCTTCTAACCCCAACCCCTTACTTACTTTTTTTCCCATAGTACTTACCACTACCCAAAAGAAAGGACTGTATTTGTTGATGTGTTTTGTCTCCCTCTACTGAAATGTGAACACCATATGGGCAAGGATTTTATATTCTTATTCAAAATGATGTTGCCAGTACCAAGAATAGTGTCCGATACTTAGTAAGCACTCAACAAATGTTTTCTGAATAAATTGTTGAAAGACTGGGTGTATATCTTGTGGCTACTAGTTACCTCTTCATCACTCCTGCATTGTTCCTGTCTCCCAGTATTTTCAGAAGCAGACACTATTTTGTCAAATTCTACTGCAACCATTTTTATTTTTTTACCTGAAAAATATACTATAATAATATTCCCAGCCATGCACTACCACATACTGAATGTTTTAAAAGTTTCACTTGTATATATACTATTCAACCTAACACTTGCATCCTTTTTCAAGAGATATGTGATAAATTTCTTTTCGGATAAGTATTATGAAATAATCAAAAAGACAGTGAATAATAAATGCTGGTGAGAGTATGGAGAGACCAGAATGCTACTGCACTGTTGGTGGGACTGTAAATTAGTACAACCACTATGGAAAACAGTATGGAGATTTCTCAAACAACTACAGACAGATCTTCCATATGATCCAGCAATCCCACTTCTGGGTATATACCCAGAGGAATGGAAATCATCATGTCGAAGGGGTACCTGCACTCCCATGTTCATCACAGCTCTGTTTACAATAGCCAAGACATGGAACCAACCTGAATGTCCATCGATGGATGATTGGATAAGGAAACTGTGGTATATATACAACACAGAATACTACTGTGCTATAAAAAAGAATGAAACTCTCCCATTTGTAGCAACATGGATGAGCTTGCAGAAACTTACATTGAGTGAAATAAGCAAAGCACAGAGGGATAAATATCACATGTACTCACTCATAAGTGAGAGTTAAGAGAGAAAGAAGAAAGGAAAGAAAGACCACAGTGGTGTGTTGGACTTGCAGACTTAAAGAACATACCTTGGGATACAAAGTGGAGTGGAGGAAAGGGGGGGGAGAAGGGAGGTTGGGGATGATTGGGTGGTGGACATGGGGTACAACCACAATTTGTGGTAATGCTGCCAGTATAGATCTGGCCTTTACATCTAGGACATGAGGGGGGCCATCAGCTTTGCATCTCATGAATATTCATAACCAATAAAAAAGAGTACTTCATAAAGTTTGTGGAAAAATAGAATAAAGAAAATATGAATCTTTCCCTGAACTTTTTGAAGAACTCTCTTATAATATAGGGATTAAGAGAACAGCCTTTAGAATTAAGCTGCTTACAATTCAAATTGTAATTCTGTTTTTGTCTCAAAACCATAAAGGTTTTACTATTTGTAAAAGAGCCAATTTTATCTACCTACAGGAGTTGATGTCAATATTAAATGAAATAATGCTTAATAGTGCTTCATACAAATGCCAAGAATTATTTATTATGTTATTTAATAACTTGTTTATGGATGAAAGGATGAATAAATGAATCAATGAATGAAAGTTGAGATCCTATATATCGCTTCTCAATTTTCCTCCCTTTAAAAAAAAGATAATATAGGCAGGTGTTGCCATGGAGACACTCCAAGTAAAAGTAATTCTTT